AAGCGAGTCTCCTGCCTCTGCCTCCCAAGTAGCTGGGACTATAGGTGCTCGCCACAACGCCTGGCCATTTTTTGGTTGCAGCCATCGTTGTTTGGCGGGCCCGGGCTGGGGATTCGAACCCACCACCTTAGGTGTATGTGGCTGGCGCCTTAGCCGCTTGAGCCACGAAGGACACTTCTAAGGAGATAACATAGCTCGGTGCCTGTGGCTCAAACGGTTAAAGCACCAGCCACATATACCTGAGCTGGCGGGTTCGAATCTAGCCCAGGCCCACCAAACAATGACGGCTGCAACCAAAAAATAGCCAGGTCTTGTGGCGAGTGCCTGTGGACCCAGCTACTTGGGAGGTGGAGGCAGGAACTCGCTTGGGCCCAGGAGTTGGAGGTTGCCGTGAGCTGTGACGCCACGGCACTCTACCCACGGCGACAGCTTGAGGCTCTGTCTCAAAGATATAAAAATAAAAATAAGGAGATAACATGTGAGCTGAGATCCCCCACCATGACAAGAAGGATCCAGGCATGATAAAGTGTGAGGGAAGGGCAGTCCAGGCCAAAGGAACAGCAAGTGCAAAGACTTTGAGGTGGGAATACATTTGATACATTAGAAGAAAGTAAAAAAAAAAGTAGTGGTGACTCCTCCTCTAACAGATGAGGAAAGATAAAGTTGGAAAAGCAGGCACATCACATGGCATCTTAGAGATCCTGGTAGGGAATTTGGGAATTATTTTGAGGGCACTGGGGAACCTTGGAGGGTTTTGAGCAAAAGGACCTGGATTCAAGCTGCCAAGTCTGGAATTGGCAGCTGCAAATCAGGAGGTATCCTAGTGATGTTCACACATCTGAGGATGTGGGATGGGGGGGTTGTCAAGAAAGTCTAAACTGATAGCCCGAAAATATTTTATCTTTTTATTACACTCAGGGACATTGAGGTGGCTGAGCGACAGCAGTTACTTGCCTGCACCTAAACAGCGATCAAGTGGCATCAAGGGAGCCACCAGGTACTCAGGCAGTGCCAAATGGTTGCTGAAATCTGCCAGCCACAAGCACTTTCCCTCTCACTGCCCAGACAGCAACTCTGCTGACTTAAATGGGGACTTGTGGTTCTTTCCCTTTTTAATCACTGTTCAAGCCTTCTCGCCTGCCAGATTTCTCTGAGGCCAAAACTGGTTTCCTTCCTCGCTTAGTTTCTTCTTGCCCTGCGTCGCCAGCGGAGTCCAGTTTCTTGTTTCAGTGTTCACTGCAACCCAGAGGCTTCTCATTTTTTTTATTTTGTTTCTTCCTTAGAAAGGCAAAGGGGTTCCAACAAATAACCCTCCCTTCTGCGTGCCCTAGATTTGAGAGCAAGAGAATTGTCTTCTCCACTGGGAGGCGGGCCAGCCACCTGCTCCTCCCCCTTGCAGGTCGCGGAAGCCAGAGGGGAGAAAGGGGCCTATTCCAGTTCCCAGGGCAGATTAGTAGCGCAGAAATCAGCAAGGCCGTCAGAGGGGCCAGGTCCGGCTGCCCTTCCTTCCTACTGGAGAAACATTGAAGGAGCAAAAACTTACTGTTTGTCTAGTTCCAGGGGACAGGACTGATAACAATAACAACATGAGAGTCAGTAACAATATTAATGAACTAATAACAATCAGGCCATATACCGGGGCTGACTGGTTGGAACCCAGCCCGGGCCTGCTAAACAATGACAACAACAACAACAACAACAACAACAAAATAACCGGGAGTTGTGGCTGGTGCGTATAGTCCCAGCTACTTGGGAGGCTGAGGCAAGAGAATTGCTTAAGCCCAAGAATTAGAGGTTGCTATGAGCTGAGATGCCAAAGCACTCTACAGAGGGGAACAAAGTGAGACTCTGTCTCAAAAAAAAAAAAAAAAAACAGAAAGAAATGAAAAGAAAAAAAAGATCAATACCAATAATATTCATGGAACAATGAATAGTAATAACAATAATTAACAACCACAGTTAGACTGAATAACACTATTAATGTGTTGGGTGGCTCCTGTGGCTCAGTGGGTAGGGCACCAGCCCCATATACTGAGGGTGGTGGGTTCAAACCCAGCCCCAGCCAAAAAGTGCAAAAAATTAAAAAATAAAAATAAAAAGTGCTAAAAAACAAACAAAAAGACTCGGCACCTGTGGCTCAAGTGGCTGAGGCGCCAGCCACATACACCTAAGGTGGCGGGTTCGAATCCAGCCTGGGCC